CAAGAACTAAGACCGTAAGAGGGTGGGAACTGTGATTTCTGATAATATTCAACATTCGATCCACCAGAGCCAGGGCCATGGAGATGAGTCAGGTCACATAGAAGATAGTCCGGTTGGCAGGAGAAAAGTAAGGTTAGACCACGAGTAAGAAGATAAAGTAATGAACCAGAGGCTGAAGAAAAAGTTTAAAAGGGGTTGGGCGCAATGGCTCATGCCTGTAATCCCAGCACTTTGGGAGGCCGAGGCAGGTGGATCACCTGAGGTCAGGAGTTCAAGACCAGCCTGGCCAACATGGTGAAACCCTGTCTCTACTAAAAATACAAAAATTATCTGGGCGTGGTAGCAGGTGTCTGTAATCCCAGCTACTCAGGAGGCTGAGGCATGAGAATCGCTTGAACCCAGAAGGCGGAGTTTGCAGTGAGCCAAGATCGCACCATTGCACTCCAGCCCAGGCGACGAGTGAAACTCCATCTCAAAAAAAAAAAAAAAAAAGGTTAAAAGGCATTAAAGCTGAAAGTGGGGTCTGAAAGTGGTAAGCTCTGGCCTGAATGATAAGGGCTCCAAAAGCCATCTTATGAATGACACGACTGGCTCCCTCCTTTGTCACCCTCACATGTGAGTATCAGGCCCTGAAATTATTCTGGCATCCTTGGATAATTTACCCTGCACCACTATGGTTCAATGAATATTTACGGAGGCAGAACCAATACCGTGCAGCAATACTAATGATACCCTGCAGGTTGCCAAAAAGTTCCTCGTCAATATTTACTCACAAGGCACATGCTTAGTATGTAGGCAAGTGTACATTATTATACCCATTTTTAAGATGAAGAGTTGGGGCTCAACTGGCAAAGCTGAAAGGTGACAATACAGGTATTTAGCCCTGGTTCAACTACTGGCTATGTGATACCCTCAGTCTCCTCGTCTGCAAAGTGAGGGGCTGGATTAGGTGATTGCTAAGGGCCTTCCAACTCTAACAAACATGATACAAAGTCTTGCAAAGACCGAGGGAGCTGAACATTTGAAAAAAATGGCATGATCTCTGTCCTCTGGCAGTCCAAAGTCAGTCTAGCAGGGCAGTTACGTGTGCACATAAGTAACCCTGTCATAGACAGACACTACCCAAGGCTGTAGCAGAGGTACCAAGAAAATACAGTAGGAGTTTGGAGGAAAGACGGACAGAGGAGTGTGGTTTTTGGATTATAATAGATGACAATTAGTGGGTATGCTGGTGTTCTAAGGCCCGTGCCACGTGCTTGCCACCCATTATGTGTGGAAACTATTATATCTATTAAATATATTATAATACATAATGAAATTTATATTAAGCAATATATAAAGTGTAAATATATGATGTAAAATTATTATAGGTAAATATTGTTATCTTCATTTTACAGATAGGTAAACTGAGACACAGAGAAACATTAAGTAACCTACCTAAGGTCCTATAGTTGGTGAATGGTGAAATAAGGCTTTGAACCTGGGCATTATGGCCCTGGAGCCCATGCTTTTAGCCATCATGCTAAGCTTCCATGGTTCTCAAACTGTAGGGCACAGCAGAATCACCTAGAAACTAGAAATCACCTAGAAATTTTCAAGAATGTAGATTCCAGGCCAGGCACGGTAGGTCACACCTGTAATCCCAGCGCTTTGGGAGGCCAAGACAGGTGGATTACCTGAGGTCAGGAGTTCAAGACCAGCCTGGCCAACATGGTGAAACCCCATCTCTATGGAAAACACAAAAATTAGCCAGTCATGGTGGTGGGTACCTGTAATCCCAGCTACTCTGGAGGTTGAGGCAGGAGAATCCCTTGAATCCAGGAGGTGGAGGTTCCAGTGAGTCGAGATCACGCCACTGCACTCCAGCCCGGGCAACAGAGATTCCATCTCAAAAAAAAAAAAAAAAAAAAGACTGCAGATTGCTGGCCCCTAACCTCTTGTCATTCTGATTCTCTGGGTCCGGGGTAGGACCTGGGAATCTGCAATTGGTCTAATACATTCCTGGGGCGTTCTGATGCAGGTGTTCCATCACCATGAGAAACGCTGTCTTAATACCTAGAGTTTTCCTACCTGGCCTGATCATAAGAACCAGCGGGGGTTCTTGTTATAAATGTGGATTCCCAGGTCCTTCCCACAGAGATCCTGACTCTTAAGCTGAAACAAGCTTGGGGAACACTGGGCATCCTTTTCTCCTGCCCTGCGGCTGCCCAGGCTGAGAGCAGACTCTCAAAGCTGGTTTCCCCAGAGGCCATGTTTGGTGTCTATAGGTGGGGATCACCTCCTTGAGAACATATCATTGCATGCATCAGGGATTGGCAGCTCTGGGGTTATCTGTCAAAGGCTGGACCAGGAGGTGGTTTGGCCAAGGCTCAGCCTAGGCAAAGTCATGAACCTGTTAAATTGTTCTTTGTCCTCTTCGTTCTTCAGATTTTTGTCCTTTTTCCTATCGAACTCTATTTCCTTTGCCCTGGTGTCTCTCCTGTGTGTCCTGCATGTACTTTCTGGCTCTCTGCGTACCTATTATTTATTTCATTCTTATTTTTGGATGGGTGTCAACAAATGGCTGTCTGTGCTAACAGATAAGATGTGAGGAAAAGAGAACTAACATTTTTGAGGCCCTGTTATGTGCCAGGCACTGTTAGCTGATAAGGTTTTAGTTATATTCCTGATAGAGACAAATGAATGTTCAAAGAGATGTCCAGAGGAGGCAATGGGAAGACACTCCCACTCCTCTGCCCTCCCCTTCTGCCCAGCACTGGGGGTGTGCACTGCCCACACCTGCTCCTTGCTTTTGCAGAACTTGTTGAACCCAGCCCCCAAATCCCAAGAGCTGCTGGTGTGTGTGGGAAGGACCTGGGACCTGTGGATAGGCACCATCCCAGCACTTCTCCCATCTGTCCCACCCCAACTTTCATGAAAGAGTGCCAATTCTGATAGAAATTCCAAGATTGTTGATGTCTTCTTTGGATAAGAATCAGGACTTTGCTCTGCTCTGGAAAACCAAGCAGGAACTGTCCAGATGCAGCTCAGGACCACAGCAATCGACCCCTGGCTGGTGAACTGGAATGCAGTGACGGCAGGTTTTGGGTGAGAGGAAAGGAACCAAAATTTATTGAGCATCCATATATTATCTCATTTAATTTCCACATAGACTCAGCAAAGGGGTGGAGTTTCCTGGGAACTTTTTGAACTTACTAGCTTACTTCTTTTTTCTAAACTCTCATTATGGAAAATTTCAAACTCACAAAAGTAGGAGGAATGATTCTATAATCTCCCAGATACCCATCACCTGCCTCAGCAATTATCACCACTGTGGCATTCCTATTTATCTACCTTTTTTTGGCTGATGTATTTTTTTTTTTTTTTTTTTTTTGAGATGGAGTCTCGCTCTGACGCCCAGGCTGGAGTGCAGTGGCACAATCTCGGCTCACTGCAAGCTCTGCTTCCCGGGTTCACACCATTCTCCTGCCTCAGCCTCCTGAGAAGCTGGGACTATAGGTGCCCACCACCACACCCGGCTTTTTTGTATTTTTAGTAGAGACGGGGTTTCATCGTGTTAGCTAGGATGGTCTTGATCTCCTGACCTTGTGATCCACCCGCCTCAGCCTCCCAAAGTGCTGGGATTACAGGCGTGAGCCACCGTGCCCAGCCTGGCTGATGTATTTTAAAGAAAATCTCAGGCATATTAACATTTCACCTTTAAATACTTCAGTATACACCTCTAACAGATAAAGGCTAATTTTTAACATAAGCACACAATCATTATCAAGCCCAACAAAATTAACAATAATTTTTTTAAATCTAATACCCAGTTTGAGTTCACTTTCCCAAAATACCTCAGAAATGTCTTTTATAGTTGTTTGCTTGAATCAGGATCCAAACAAGATCCACACACAGGGCTGACATGTCTCTTAAAGCCCTTTTTATTTAAAACACTCCCATTCTACACACACGTTTCCCTCCATGTATTTGTTGAAGACACTGGGTCATGTGTCCTGAGTATAATCATTTGGCATGACTAGAATCAAGTTCACTTTTAATATGTCTCTCTTCCCCATAATTCCAGAATGTTGTTCATTAGATCTACAGGCCTGACTCGATTCAAGTTCAATTTTTTGGCAAGAATACTTCCTAGGTGGTGCTGGTACTTCCTATTCACATCAGCAAACACATATGATGCAGACTGTCCCACTTTCAGTGATGTTGAAGTTGAGCATTTGCTTCAGGTTGTGTCAGCCTGACCCACCCATTATACAATTCACCCGGAGAACTTAAAAAAAAAAAAAAAAAGATTGCCTACGTCCCAACCCAAACCTCCTGAATCAGAATATCTTCCCCACCTCCTCCATGTGTTTAAAAGGCTCCCCTGGGCCAGGTGCGACAGGAGCACTGGAGTAATCCCAGCACTTTGGGAGGCCAAAGCGGGCAGATCACCTGAGGTCAGGGGTTCAAGACCAGCCTGGCCAACATGGCAAAACCCCGTCTCTACTAAAAATACAAACATTAGCTGGGCATGGTGGTGCATGCCTGTAATCCCAGCTACTTGGGAGGCTGAGGCAGGAGAATGGCTTGAACCCAGAAGGTGGAGGTTACAGTGAGCCAAGATTACGCCACTACACTCCAACCTGGGTGACAGAGTGAGACCCTATCTCAAAAATAAAAAAGAAAGAAAATATCTTTAAAAGAAAAATAGGAAATTCACCCCATTGGAAAGTGGCAGAGCCAGGTGTGACCCCAGGACTCTGCATTTTTAAGTCACCACAGGTGGTTCTGCTGCAGGTGGTCCAAGTATTTCCCTCGGTAAAATATGGTGCTTTTGGCACTATTCCATCCTAGGGGCTGTCACCTCGCTCTTCAACACAAAGCTTGTCCTCAAGGAACCCACAGTCCTGGGGCAGCGAGCATGTGCACTAAAAGCGATCATGTGGGTCGGAAGCGGTCAGTGCCATGAAGGCAGTTCAGAGAAACTGCCCGGAGGGCACAGCAGAAGGAGCACTTACCTCCAGCTGGGAAGTCAAGGAAGGCTTCCTGGAAGATAGGTATGGAGCTGAACTTTGAAGGAATCAGGTTATTCCAGAGGGAGGGGCAGCACTGGCAAAAGAACAGAGGCAAAGGGAAATGCTGTCACCTTTTGTGGGGCTGGGGGAGTTAATGAGATGGGAACCACCAAATATGGAGATCCTAAAAGAAAGAAATGAGGTAGAGACAAGGTCCACTTGAGTAGCTGAGTAGACTGCTGGGGACTTGCTCAGAGGCCCAGGGACTTACAGGAACACACCCTATCAGGGGTGCTGGTGCTCACACACAGCTCAACAGGACCCTGCTAATGAAGGGTAATATTTCTGCGCCAGGAGCCAGTATGAGCGCATTACACACCCTGCCCCATGAATCTTCACCCCCATCCCTATGACGAAGGTGCCATTGTTCCTTCTGTCTTCCGGAGGAAGAATTTAAAATGTCACACTGCTAGGACATGGCAGAGCTGGGATTCAAAACCAGGCAGTCTGGCTCCCAGAGACTGCATTCCTGACCACTCTGCTTCCCTGCCTCTTACCCTCTTAAAGAGTGAAGGCCCTAACAGCCTCCTGCCCATGGAGCATGGGGTCCTCATAGCAGGCCTCTCCTCCTCATACCTCTGCCTTCACCTTACAAGCTCAGGGAGTCCTCCTGCCCCTGCCCCACTCCCTCCATCTCCCCTACAGGGGTCTCCTGGATTTCTGTGCAGCAGGATGCTGGCTCCCTGACTCTTCCCTTCCTTCTGGTTCCTGGACCCAACCCACAGGCCTCTTTCCTTTAAGGGGTCACTCCTATTCTCTGCAGCCCCAGAACAGGGGTTAAAAGAGCAAGAGACAAGGCTGCGGACAAAGGTTTCGAGTCCCCCACGGTGCTCAGAGCCCTGTTCCCTGGTTCCCAGCTGAGCTCCCTGTGAACAGCCCCTGGGGAAGAGCCTGCTCAGGAGACAGAGGCCCTGAACAGCTTGTCCCAGGTCATAGAACAGCCCAGGAGGACAGCCAGGACTGGACCCCAGGAAGCAGAGCTGCCTTCCGCTGGCTCTAGCAGTTGCTTTTGTTTGGGATGGAGCTCAGAGATGAGCTCACCCTTCCCTGCTGCCAGAGGGGCCAGGACCTGAGGAAGGAGCTGGGGGCGGCCTGGCCCTCTCATGCCAGCAGAAGGCCAGCCCCAGGCTTTTGGCCAACCTTGCACTGAGCTTGCCCATCCCCCTTCCTTTCCGTTGCTCAAAGGTGGCTTCACAGAAGACACTGGTGGTGTCAGTAGTGTGGCAGGCATGTACTGCCCGTGGCCTGGGTCTGCCCCATAGGGTTCGTCTCTCTTCCGGAGACCTAAGCCAGAAAGGCCAAACAATCCCCACTCCCATGTGACCTTAGGCCAGTGACGCTGGGGCCGGAGTGGGCAGTAGGACTCCAGACCACCTCCTAGGTTCCTGGCAGCCTCCCTGGACTTAGAGGTGGTAGGAATGGGCCGAGCCATGCCTTAGGGCCAGAAGATAAGAGACAGGGCTCAAGGGGCTACAAATGCCAGAGGTCAAGGCAAGCAAGGGTCTGACACTGGGCAGACAGGAGTCAGGGCTGGCGATCAACAGCCTACCTAAGTCCCTGCCCCCTGCATTTTCTCCCCAAAGCTGCGGTTACTTCATCCCCCTAAGTTCAGGCCTCCTTGTCCTGTCCTAGGCATAATACAGAAGCCCAGGGGAGTTGGCTTTCAGAGGATCTGGTTGCTGGTGCTCCACCGGCCTTGTGCTTCCTTTCTAGTCAATGGGCTTCCTCCAGTAACCAAGCTTCTGTCTAATATAGGATTACAACAGCTGCCACTCTGTGCCACACCACACACTTCACATGTATCTTATTCAATCTCACACAGCCCGGTGAGGTAGGTCTGATGCCCCCGTTTTACGAGTAAGGACACTGAAGCTTAGGGGTAGCCCTGCTGGCCATATTCACAAACCGGCAGGGGAATGAAGGTGATCTGTGCCACTCAGGGGCCCGAGCTCATAACCACCATGCCATGGAGCTGCCTCAGTTCCACCCTCATGATCCTGTGTCCCACTGCCAGGGCCTGGAGTGTGTTTGCACCTACACTTGAATCCCTGCCTCAATCTTAGCCAACAGTTCTGTTCTTCCAGAACCAAGGTCCTGCAGAGAGCTGCCCACGCCTGGGCCCCGCCTGCCCAGGGTCTCCTGAAGCTCACTGCCAGTTTGCCAGGACTTGCCCTCTTTGTCCCCACTCCCTCCCCTCCACCTCAGGGCCTTTTTTTTTTTTTTGAGATGGAGTCTCTGTTGTCCAAGCTGGAGTGCAGTGGAGCGATCTTGGCTCACTGCAACCTCCACCTCCCAGGATCAAGCGATTCTCCTGCCTCTGCCTCTAGAGTAGCTGGTACTATAGGCGCAGGCCACCACATCTGGCTAATTTTTGATATTTTTAGTAGAGATAGGGTTTTACCATGTTTGCCAAGCTGGTCTCGAACTCCTGATCTCAAGTGATCCACCCTGCTTGGCCTCCCAAAGTGCTGGGATTACAGGCATGAGCCACCGTGCCCAGCCAGCTCAGGGCCTTTTCATCTGTCACCTGGCCCCCAGCATCTAAACAGATCCCCCTGCCCCAGGTCTTGTTCCCTCTAATCCTCCCTCCAACTGCAGCCGGAGTAATTTCATTGGATCACACCCCCACTCCTGCTTAAACCCCCCACTAGCCAAGAAGCTGATCCAAATTCCTTTGTATGGCATTAAGCACCCTGCTTGCCAGCCTGGCTGACCTCATCTCTCTCCGGCCCTCCCCTCCTGCTTTGTTCCAGAGCCAGGTGGAATGAAACTGCCTGTCCCTGGACCGTGTTTATCGCATTCCATCCGCCAGGAATGTCACCCCCACCCTTCCTCTCCTGCCCCCTGAATCCGTTCTCCTGACTAACTTCTGATCCTTCAAGACTCAGCTTCAGCTTCATCTTTGTGAAACTTTCCCTGAACATCTTCCCCCAGGTTTAAATGAACCCCCTCTCCTCAGAATCCCCGCCCGACCCTCCCAGACATTCCTAAAGCACCCAGAGCCCTCTGCCTCACTTGTGCTCTCTCTCTCCTTGTCTCCGCTCTGCAGAGAGGCCTGGGAGGCAGGGGTTGTGTTTGATTTCTCTGTATGTCCAGCACGGGGCCTGGCACAGGGACTGTGCTCGGTGTTTGCTGAGGTAATGGGTTGGCTGACCGACTCATATCTAAGCAGGTGCCCTGGGCGCCTCCCCACACTCCTCTCCACAGGAAACGACCTCTTCCTGGTGGCTGTGCATGAGCTGGGCCACGCGCTCGGACTGGAGCACTCCAACGACCCCAGCGCCATCATGGCACCCTTCTACCAGTACATGGAGACGCACAACTTCAAGCTGCCCCAGGACGATCTCCAGGGCATCCAGAAGATCTATGGTGTGTGGCAAGGAAAGGGAGGACTGCTCCTTCCTCGGGGCTGGGCTGTGACTGCCTACCTGTTGTGGGGTAGGGGACGAGGGAGGTGGACGTTGCTATCATCAGCACTGCTGCTGTTTCTCTGACTGTGTGTGACCTTTACAGACTTCCAATGGCTTTGCCTGGCCAGAGGGCAAGGCTTCCCCTGGCACACCTGGGAAAGCTAGGGGAGGGTCTGAGCTGTAACTGAGAGGGACAAAAGTGAGGTGAGGGCCACTCATTCCCTCTCCTTTATCCCTCCCCTTCCACACTTCTCCCCACCCCTTCATGCTTCGCTCCCTCCCTCCTACACCAGATGGTGACTGAGCACTCCCACAGGTTCCACCTCTAGCCAGGCAGGTTCACATATCTGCAGGAGTAACGGTGATACAGTAGGATGGGGACTATAACCAGAGCTTTGTTCTTTAAAAAGAGAAAATGAGGGCCAGGCATCATGGCTCTTGCCTGAAATCCCAGCACTTTGGGAGGCCGAGGCGGGTAGATCACTTGAGGTCAGGAGTTCGAGACCAGCCTGGCCAACATGGTGAAACCCCATCTCTAACAAAAATATTAAAACAAACAAACAAAAAAATTAGCCAGGTGTGGTGGTGGGCACCTGAAATCTCAGCTGCTTGGGAGGCTGAGGCAGGAGAATCACTTGAACCCAGGAGGCAGAGGTTGCAGTGAGCCGAGATCACACCATTGCACTCCAGCCTGGGCAACAGGGCGAGACTCCGTCTCAAAAAAAAAAAAAAAAGAAAGAAAAAGAAAGAAAGAAAAGATGAAAGATGAGAAGCTACTGCTTATCTAGGTAAGATATGAAAGGCCTCCTACACACCTCTCTCCCAGTTCTGTTCACACTGGTATGTGAGGTTCTCGTTCTGGTCAAGTCAGGTGAGATACGAAGACCAGTTTACTTGAGCAAATGCTTGTCAAGACAGCACAGGCGCCCACAGCCCCCAGGCTATGGAGCACAGGAGGAGGGCTCCCTCTGGAGGAGATGACCCAGCCAGAGCCCTGGAGGACAGGCAGGACCTTCACAAGCAGAGACCAGGTGGGGGCTGTGGGTCCCAGAAGCTATTCCAAAGGTAGAACAGGATCTGCTGACAGATCAGACGTGGGATGAGAGGAAGGCGGGAGAGTCAAGGATGACCCCAGGGTTTCCAGTTTTTGTAATTGTGAAGCAATAGGGTCCACCAGTCTGCAGCTCAAAAATCTAGGCTGGAGGCCGAGGTGGGCAATTACCTGAGGTCAGGAGTTCAAGCCCAGCCTGGCCAACATGGCAAAACCCCATCTCTACTAAAAATACAAAAAAATTAGCCTGGCATGGTGGTGTGCGCCTGTAATCCCAGCTACTTGAGAGGCTGAGGCAGAAGAATTGCTTGAAGCTGGGAGGCAGAGCTTGCAGTGAGCTGAGATCGTGCCACTGCACTCCAGCCTGGGTGACAGAGTAAGACTCCGTCTCAAAAAAAAAAAAAAGAAAAGAGAAAGAAAAAAATCTAGGCTGGGATATTTATTTGGGGTCTTTGGTGTTCAGTACAGTAACCACTAGTCATGCACAGTAATGCATTTAAATAATAAATTTAAATTTATATTAATTAGGCTGGGTGCGGTGGCTCAAACCTGTAATCCCAGCACTTTGGGAGGCCAAAGTGGGAGGATTGCTTGAGGCCAGGAGTTCGAGACCAGCCTGGGCAACAAAGTGAGATCCCTGTCTCTACCCACACCAAAAATATGAAAATTATAATTTCAGTAATAGTTCTTTAGTGTATCTCAGTCACACTAAGAACTAGTCATTCATCTTAAGAGCTCAGTAGCCATATATGGCTGTGGCTAGGGGCTACTGGAGTGAACGATGCAGATATGGACAATTTCCATCATCACAGAACACCCCAGTGGACAGCTCTGACACAGGTCTGTAAAGCCATGAGCCTGTATGAAACCACCTAGAGTAATGATTCTCAACTTGGCTGCCCTTTGGAATTACCTTGGGTTTCTAATAAAAAAACACAGATACCCAGCCCTCAGCTCTAGAGATTTGGTTTTATTAATAGTTGGGGATTGGGCGCAGTGGCTCACACCTGTAATCCCAGCACTTTGGGAGGCCAAGGTGGGTGAATCACTTGAGGTCAGGAGTTTGAGACCAGCCTGGTGAAACCCCATCTCTGCTAAAAAAAAAATTACCTGGGCGTGGTGGCACATGCCTGTAGTCTCAGCTACTTGGGAGGGTGAGGCAGGACAATCACTTGAACCTGGGAGGCAGAGATTGCAGTGAGCCGAGATCGTGCCACTGCACTCCAGCATGGGGGACAGAGCGAGACTCCTCCTCAGGAAAAAAAAAGTTAAAAAAAAAAAAGAAAAAAAAAAGAAAAAAAAAAAAAGTTAGATAGCTGGCCTGGTGCTTCCTGAACATCCAGTTTGAAAAGCTCCCCCAGGTGATCCTAATATGCAGCCCAAGTGGAGAAGCACTGACCTAAGGACGAAAATGTAGAGACAGAAGAGAAGAGGACCAGGGGTATGCCAGCCTCTAGAGTAGGGCAGATGGGGACAGGCAGCCAGCAAAGGAGGCTGAGAAGGAACAGCCCATGATGCAGGAGGACAACCAAGAGAGTGTTTCAAGGAAAGTGTTTCTATAAATCTTGCTGCTCAAAGTGTAGTCTTCAGACCAGCAGCATCAGCATCACCTGAGAGTGTGAAGGAATGCAGACTCTCAGGCCCTCTGAGCCCTTATCTGCATTTTAGCAACATCCCCAGATGATGCATGTGCTCATCAAAGTCTGAGTCAAGCAACCATTGGATGATCTTGGCGGAGCAGCTGGAGTGGGTGATGGGTAGAAGCTGCACTGGGCTGGGAAAGAGAATGAATAAAGTGGGTGAGGAAGTGGGGCCAGTGTGTGTGAAGGGGGCAAAGAGGGTATGGCCTAAGGAAGAGCGCTGACCTAAAGAAGGATATGATTGCTCTGTAACAGGGGAAAAGAGAAGATATAAGATTCAGGGGTAGAAAGTTGAGAGTCCCATTCTAATGGCTATTTTCATCTGTTTTCTCAAAGACTGGGGGAGTTAAACTGGGGAGAGGGAACAGGAGGCTGGACTGGGACAGAGCTGTCTCAGAGTTGCCTGGGTGATGCTGAGACAATGGCAGCGGGAGGCGGGAAATGGCTGCCCCCTCTCTAAGATGTAGCTCCTCTCTCCAGGACCCCCAGCCGAGCCTCTGGAGCCCACAAGGCCACTCCCTACACTCCCCGTCCGCAGGATCCACTCACCGTCGGAGAGGAAGCATGAGCGCCAGCCCAGGCCCCCTCGGCCGCCCCTCGGGGACCGGCCATCCACACCAGGCACCAAACCCAACATCTGTGATGGCAACTTCAACACAGTGGCCCTCTTCCGGGGCGAGATGTTTGTGTTTAAGGTAGGGCCAATGGATTGGCACCACCCAGCTGGTCCCTGACCTTTCCTCCTCCTCCTCCACACCACGGAGCTGGGAAAGGCTCCTGATTTGGGATTTGGTTACCATGGGGCCTGGACGGGAGCTGGCCCAGTGGCCAGGGTATGGGGTCTCTTCCTGATGCTGCTGGGAGTGAATCACAAGGTGAACCAACTTGTTTCCAAGAGGGAGGGGGAAAGATGGGTGATCCCTCACCTCCCCAGGATTAATGCTGGGAGAAAGTGCTGGAAGCTGGCTTCTGGTCTGTGACCTTGACTAAGCGAGTCACCTCCCTTCTTGGGACCTCAGTTTCTCCATCCGAAACCTGGGGGAGTCATTCCTCTAACAAAGGGTGTGTGAAGATCCAGTGAGCGTCCGGCTCTGAAGATG